TGGGCATCTTTATATACCAAAATTGCCTTTATCTACTAGTAAAATGAATAATTTTGTTTTGAAACAAACAGTTGTTGATTTACAGTATGCGGGGCCAAAGGATTTATAAAGATTTGAAATGCCACAAATTGATTCAGTGTCAAAATTAATACAAATGTCAGTTCCCAGTTTAAATAAGTTTCAAGGTGACAATGTGTCAACGCTGCGAAATCGGTTTAGTGCGTTTACATGTCGATAAATGATTGGAGCGTTTGCAAAACATTTTATTTCGCATAATGCGTCTAAATTTATCAGAAAGCAACTTATGTGATATTTTAATAACAATGTTTATATGACTATTAACCATAATAAGAGAGTAATGACCATTTTACAATTTATATATCACATTAATATGAAACTGCAATAGAGCAATTGTTTGTGATAGAAACCTAGGCATTAGGTCGGGGAATTTTTATCGTGATGACGTGCACGCCACTTCGTTTGGCGTTGACTATAGGTGCATAGTAAGGAGGTTTGTGCTAATAATGTCTTGATGATAATTCCATTGGTTTCTTATCACAAATACATTTACTTGAGATATATGCAAAACCAGAAATTAGTTGCACATCCACTTTTCCTTATTCATCCTTGAAATCACATTTGTAAATTTGATGAATTTAAAAAATTAGAGCGATATGAAAAGAAATACCTGGGCGGTGAATGGTATTACAACCAGCAGGTGAGAGAATATGCCACAGACAGTAATACTTATGAAACGAGAAAAATTATTACGTTATAAATTATTCTGTATTTCCATTCATTCAAAGTTTATAGAAATTTATTCTGCAATATCAAGTAGAAAATACAAATCAGCGCCTAGATGTAAGGCACTGCGAAAATGTTTGATGTGTGATGCGTCATTCCTATATTTTCTGGGATGTGGCTTAATTATTTATATAACAAAATAACGGAATTTAATGAAAGGATTCAACCTTGAAAATTCCTATTTCACATACTACAGTTTGAAGGGCTTATTTGAGTTTGACATATGAGGTATTTCTAGATATGTCCTGACAGTGTGACAGTTTTAAATTGACAGCCTTGTCAGATTTAGAATTAAAATTTGCATTATTGATTAACTGTGTTACCTGGGTGGTCAGGCAGTCTATTTTACTGTTTTGATCCCTAACTGTCTCAGTCAGCTCCTTTATTTGCCGGGCCTGGCTTTCGATGATCAGGGTCTGGCGCTGGATGGTTCCGTCCTTTTCGTCTGCTGCAGCTGGTGTCATCAATTCCTTTGATTTCTTGGTAATTTCTGTTCTCTTTTTCTGGCTGGGTCCATTCATCATCGGGGACCCCGTAGGATCATAACTTTGACCTCCAGAGTCTATCTCCATGTATTAAATCGGGTTTCCTATTGAAAAACTCGAAAACTTTCACGAGCTAAACTATGACGTATTGTCAATTATCCCTTATACAGGGCGACACTAAATGTCTATTATATTTATTGATCGCGGACCCAGCGAATAGCGTATCGAAATTGCATCCAATAACATGGTAACTATTTCGTAGATTCCGAACTAGTGCATATTTAATAAGTTTCATGCCATTCTGTAACCCTTCAAACAATGAAAATCAAATGACGAGCTAATTTAACAATAAATGAGGTACTTACACAGAATTCATGCATACAATTTATTATGTCTGCAAGTAATTGCCTTCCAATCGTATTCTCCGACATTACTTGTTCACGTTAGGGGCAATTCCTGGTAAATCAAGCTTAACACGAATTGTGAAGCTACGACGAGCTCGATCATTCATGAAATTCTTTGGAAGCTGGTTCATGCGGAAAGCAGGGCATTCTAATTTGTACGCGAAGTTTATATTATACAATCTACATACACTGTTCTTCAAAAATATCTTTGCTTCCTTAATTTGGAACGTAAATGGTCAACATACTTTGAACAATAACTGTTTTTAAAATGCATGAACAAATCGCGAATATACTTCATATATCCTTAGATGGGTTGCATTTTGTTCCCGAGACAGCACACATTCGGTTTCCGTGAATGTCAGAGCTTTCCGAATAAGCTATTGGTTTCGGCTTGTCGGAGTTCAAACTACCAAGAACATAATTTGGCACGAACACGTCTCGTCAGCGGCAGATGCTGGGAAGAAATTTGTAAGTCTATGTACGATCAGGAACTTGACTCCGCATAGTACACGTCTAAACTAATATGAAACTGTAAATGATCTTTTGGTAACATAATATACTGAGTGACATAAAAGGTAAACACCGACGTATGTTTATCCGATGTTAATAATTTTTGGCATATACAGGGTTTGTCCGGAAAGTAATAGGACTCATTTTCTTCCGCCATGACTGTACTTCGGAGCGTGCACGCACCGACTGGATTCGGTAGAGGGCGTTCCTAGCTAACGAATGAGCGGCTGGTCAGTTCTCTCTGAGCAGTTGGAGAGTCAGGACAGGCATTTTCGCGCGACGTGTTTCTGTGAGTGGTGCAAGCCGAAAATGCAGCGTTCGTTAGAGCAGAGGTACGCGATTAAATTCTGTGTGAAACTCTGTAAATATGCGACAGAGACGTTTGATATGATCAAGCAGGCTTACCAGGTATTGCTTTAGGAAGAAGTGGTGGCACCAGGCCTTTTTGGAGGGCCGGGAATAGGTCGCTGATGAAGACCGTGCTGGAAGACCTTCGACTTCGACCAACACCGATAATGTGACTCGTGTGCGCAAAGTTTTGAACTCAGACCGTCGACTAAGTATTCCTCAAGGCTATTTCGGAGAATGCTTTCCGTAACACCTTCAAGAAGGAGCCTATTTTGAAAGTTTTTAAAGAATTGTAACGATTAGCTCAATAAATGTTTTTGAATAGACTCAGTCCTATTACTTTCCGGACAAACCCTGTATGTTTAGTGTCCCTGACTAGTAAAATGATTAAATTTTCAGCTTGATTTGTCAACTGACTGTAAAAGCTGTAAACTTGTTGTTCATGGCAAGATAAATCGATATGTAAAGAATTCTTGAATTCTAATAAACATAAGTAGGTGTTTACCTTTTTTTTGTCAGTATATAATGACATCAGCCCCCAGAGGTCTGAAGAGAAACGAATCAGCTGATATTGTCAAAGACAAAAACAACCATCTTTCAGCCTTAATAAATTAGGTATAGCGGAAAAACAATAAAGCTGCAGAAGCAAAGACGAATCATATATATAGAATGTCCCAAAAGTAGTGGAACAAACGAAGGAGAAAATTGCAGTTTAGCCGATTGCTGTACCTGCACTTGTAATTTTTCGCTGATAAAATTATTCATCAACACATCATTATTTAAAATAACTTCAGCCAAAAATAGTACAGTGGTAGTCATTATTTTAAAACAGAAATATATTTAAATCCATAAATTGTACTACCACTCTTATTATATTATTTTAGATTCTAAGGGTCATGACGCTTTGTTCTAATTTAACGCGCTTGCTTATAGTGATATAAAAATGTCTCCTTGTCACTTCTTATCAATTTGAAGGAGTGCGTTTTCTCGTCTTGAACCACTTAAAGTCGCCTCGGAAGCACATAAGACATGCCTGTCAACCTCTAAAACGATCATTGTGTAGTCTTTCTGCTATAAATAGTCCTCATAAATTTGGATTTTATTCTTGTAGCCTGTCGTGAAATTTACAACGCTGGAAACAGAGAAAGCCATTAGGAATATGTATATTGTCAACATCCATTCTAAATCGCATCACAAACGTTGCTCGTCTGTAGATTTGAGTTGTTGACCGTGCTGCAATTTTAGTTTTAGCGGACTTCATTATTTGAGACAGTTGTTTACGAGTAACTGTCGTAGGTAGACAGACTATGTGCTTGTTCTGCATATTAAGTGTTCACATTTTAACTGTGCAGTTCCTTAACAAGTAACATTAGATTTGCACTTGAGACTTTTAGAGCCCAACATCATTTGGGAGCATATTATTTAAAATAACTTCAGCCAAAAATAGTACAGTAGTAGGCATTATTTTACAACAGAAATATATTTAAATCCATAAATTGTACTACCACTCTTATTATATTATTTTAGATTCTAAGGGTCATGACGCTTTGTTCTAATTTAACGCGCTTGCATATAGTCATATAAAAATGTCTCCTTGTTACTTCTTATCAGTTTGAAGGAGTGCGTTTTCTCGTCTTGAACCACTTAAAGTCGCCTCGGAAGCACATAAGACATACCTGTCAACCTCTAAAACGATCATTGTGTAGTCTTTCTGCTATAAATTGTCCTCATAAATTTAGATTTTATTCTTCTGGCCTGTCGTGACATTTACAACGCTGGAAACAGAGAAAGCCATTAGGAATATGTATATTGTCAACATCCATTCTGAATCGCATCACAAACGCTGCTCGTCTGTAGATTTGCGTTGTTGACCGTGCTGCAATTTTAGTTTTAGCGGACTTTATTATTTGAGACAGTTGTTTACGAGTAACTGTCGTAGGTAGACAGACTATGTACTTGTTCTGCATATTATGTGTTCACATTTTAACTGTGCAATTCCTTAACAAGTAACATTAGATTTGCACTTGAGACTTTTAGATCCCAACATCATTTGGGAGCATATTATTTAAAATAACTTCAGCCAAAAATAGTACAGTAGTAGGCATTATTTTACAACAGAAATATATTTAAATCCATAAATTGTACTACCACTCTTATTATATTATTTTAGATTCTAAGGGTCATGACGCTTTGTTCTAATTTAACGCGCTTGCATATAGTCATATAAAAATGTCTCCTTGTTACTTCTTATCAGTTTGAAGGAGTGCGTTTTCTCGTCTTGAACCACTTAAAGTCGCCTCGGAAGCACATAAGACTGCCTGTCAACCTCTAAAACGATCATTGTGTAGTCTTTCTGCTATAACCTCCTCGGACCCAAGAGCCAGATAACTGGGACTTATTAGCAAAAATAGTGATTTTGGGTTCTAATGGACCTAGTAAGGCACAAACGAAGCAAATTTTTTGAAACAAAAATAGATTTTTGGTTTTATGCCAGGTATCATCTATGATACCTTGGATCTCCATCTACACAAAAAATATATTAAAGAAATGATAAGTTAAAAAAGTAAATTTATTAATTCAATGTTACAAAGCAAATTTATATCATAGAACTGCAAATTTACTTATGAAATAGTAAAAAACAATTTCTATTTACACTGCAGCATAGAAAAACATTACAAGCGGTACACCTGGTAAAAGTTAACATCTCTTGCAGGTAGTGCTTCAACTAGCCTAGGCTTTTTAATTTCAACAGCTTCTTCATCTTCTGATGTTTCATTTTCTTTATCTTCCAAATTGTAAAGAAGTGCTTGTGCAATAGCAAATTTAAAATCCATGTAATCCATGATCTGTTTTTTCTCAAGACGTGCTAAAGAGGCATCTTCACGATATTCCAACCAAGAAGCAGCAGCAGCAAAATCAAAAAAATGATAAATGAAACGTATTGTCCATTTTTTTGTCCTTGACCTCATACAATATTTTCCGATGACCCGATCAAGTAAGTCAACTCCACCCATGAATGCGTTATATTCCTTAATAACGTTTGGCTGTGGAATCTGTATGTATTTATTGTCAGATTTTGACCACCTTTTGCATTCTCCTAGAGGCTCAGAACCACACTTAGATGACGCCATTTGCACTGGCCTAGAGTCAAACCATTTTACTAGGACCATCTTCTCGTCTTGTCTTACTAATTGATCCGATGAGCCCCTGCCTCGTTTCTTTAGAATGCTGTCCGATTCGAATTTCGCCTCTTTAGGAACTCTATTAGACATTAGAGTACCAGTAACAGTCAAGGATCTTGATAACATACAATCTACCAAAGGTATAGATGTAAAAAACCTATCCGTAAAAACTGAAACTCCCTTTGGTAGTGTATCGGCCAGTTTTAAAACATATCTCCCTCCGACGTTAAGCTTTTCTGGCGTGTCTACAAGTATGGAATCTACTGAAGTACCCTTCCCTTCGTACATTAAAATATCTAAAGGTATTCCCTGTGGTGTTGTCATAACAAAAGCTTTGAGGCCTACCGGATTTGGCTTACCTCTTACGAATTGTCTCATTTTAACTTGTCCATGAAAAGGTATCATCTGTTCGTCTATTGACACATTTTCTGTTCTGATATTTGAACGACAACCTCGTTGAATTTTCTCTAGCATAGGCTTTACCTTCCAAAACCTATCTAGATCCCTTGCTTCTTTACTGACCATGTCATCATCAACAAGCTTCAGGCGCGATCTCAGAACGAAGAACCTATTCCGAGACATTTTTTCAGAAATTATGGGTACTCTAGTTTGTACACCCCAGTACATTTTAATGCGTGGTAGATTGTAGATGCCCATCAGCATAGAACATCCAAAAAACCTTTTGATCTCTGCAGAAGAAGTTCCTAAAGATTTTCCGGTAGTTTTCACTTCTCTAATATTGCTGAAATGTGCAATATTTTCAAAAAAATCGTCGTCAAGATATTTGCAAAAATATTGCATTGGTTCTTTGACGCTTCTGTTTATTTCTTCTTGAACAAACTCTCTCACTACTGATGGATAAAATTCTTCTTTATGTCTATACCTACAACGATCACTAATTCTCTTTACAATGTTTATCAAGGGTTCTTCATCGGAAGTATCGAAATTGTCATCCTGTGGTGTTACGTCAGGCTGTTGAAAAAACTCCTCCTGCTCCTCACCCGATTCGCCGATATCAATGTTATCATCTATATCCGAGTCATTCAAATCCATATTGTCTGCTAATTCCTGCAGTTCGGCAGCAGTACCGGCCCTAAAAATGGTATTCAATAAATACAAAATAAATAAATTTATTTTGTGTTATTAGCTTATTTTGTAACTATTAAGACTCAAGGTATCACCTACGATACCTAACCTAAAATACGCGCTGCAAATGTTATTTACATTTTATTTTAAATTCAGAACATGATAAATAATTCACTCACATATTTTTGTCATCTACAACGGAAAAATAATAATTTTAATTGATCTACTTACTTGTGTTTTCGTTAAACGCCATTCTGGTACACAAAGCACGTGCTACTGCGACATTCACTTGCTCGCTTTACAAAGCAAATAACCAGAATTCAAGTTACAGCCTGCAAACTGGACTCGCGCGAGTGTATCGTATATGACACGCTCGGAACTGATCGCGACTTAAAACTATTTGGATAAATATGCAGCAAATAACTGAGGTATCACCAGTGATACCCAGGAACCGAGGAGGATAAATTGTCCTCATAAATTTAGATTTTATTCTTCTGGCCTGTCGTGACATTTACAACTCTGGAAACAGAGAAAGCCATTAGGAATATGTATATTGTCAACATCCTTTCTAAATCGCATCACAAACGTTGTAGATTTGAGTTGTTGACCGTGCTGCAATTTTAGTTTTAGCGGACTTTATTATTTGAGACAGTTATTTACGAGTAACTGTCGTAGGTAGACAGACTATGTACTTGTTCTGCATATTAAGTGTTCACATTTTCACTGTGCAATTCCTTAACAAGTAACATTAGATTTGCACTTGAGACTTTTAGAGCCCAAGATACGTTGATTTTTATTCGCTTAGTTAATTCTAAATGCAAGGCATTGTTCAAATGAGTTTGGGGACAATTTGCCTACATTCTTGCTGAATGCCCTTGACCGGCATAGATGCTGCTTTTACCCTTTTCGTGAATGACATCGCTTCCTCATTTTCTCTTTTAATGAAGCATCATTAGGGCTGAAAGTTTCACGGTTTGATGCCAAAGCAACGTTTAATGCGAATGGACTTCTGCTGAACTAAAGCAAAATTGCTGGGGATACATGTCAATCCGCATCTTGAATGGGATATCCACATAAATCAAGCGGCGAAAAAACTAGGGACTGGCTTATACAGGGTAGGGTGTCTGAATAATCCATGGACATAGAAAGATAGACATTTATTTTCCAACAGGCACGTACGCACCCAGTAACCGGAAGTGTTTAGGTTCAATCGGTCATCGGAAGAAAAAACAACTAATATTACGAGAGCATAAGGAATTTTTTATTTGAAAAACGAATTTACCATTGGAAACGTTGATCTTTAAGCCCGCTTGGAAACTTGGTAACTTCTTCTTGCAACTCCTCGTCTGTCTCGAACCGTTGACCGCCAGTTTCGGAAACGCTAAATCAGGGCTGTAAGGGGATGGGTAATTACTTCCCAGCCAAATTGCTCGATTGAGTCCTTCGTTTGTTGTCCTGTCGTAGTGAGACAGACTTACGCTTTGAGAAGCCTTAGGAATTTAAGAATTTCAACTGCCTGTTCCCGGATCGTGATTCGACTATCTTCGAACAAGCTTTGCTCAATCTTGGTCATAACTTCCTCAAAGATCGACACCCTCCCGCTTCGTTATTAATCGTGGATGTCCATGCGACCGTCAAGTAGCTCTCTTCGCCATTTGGGGATGATTGAATGCTTATACACGTTTCCCATATATTTAGTTAAAATTGTTACAAATGTTTGAAGCAGGCGATTTAGACAAAGTATTAGTTCTAGCACAAACAGAATTTTTGCCCTATATTTAGAGGCAGGACACATTTTATATACAGGGTAACTTTGAAGTTGAGTCATTAATTTTCAGATAATGATTGTAGAAGGAAGATAAACCAAAATATGTGTGTAAAAATAAAAAAAAAATAAAAAAAATTGTTTACCTTGTTTTATAAAGTATCCTCCCGTCAAGTATTTCAGTGCGGACCTGTATTTGATCGTGAGGTCCCCTGTGAGGTCTTAAGTCACCTGATTCACGAGCCCGTTGTACTACATTAACAAAGGCACGAGGGGTTGGTTGCACTCGATTGAGCCACGCAACAGATACCACTATTCACTGACACTGACTGTATACAAATGAATGAAATAATTGTAAAAACATCGTTCCAAATTCTTTCGCTTTTTTGTTTCCGATGCGATGAACCGATACGGCGGATTATATCCGTTGTCGCCAAACACGAGCACATAATATTATTATTGAGACAGGGCGGTACTCAAACTTCCAAAGGGCTATAACTTTGTTACTTTAATTTTACCAGGAAAATGGTAAAGGAAAAAAACATTTCTTTTGATCAGATCTACTCACTGTTAAAATAAATGACTCAACTTCGAAGTCACCCTGTATATATATCGTTCTCCGCATCCAAAGCTGTTACTGCACATATTGAACTGAATAAAGATTTAAAATCTCTATATAACATATCTATAGCACATAATTTACAGCTAAATCCGAAGAAATCACAAGTCATGATTTTTGGCAATAAAAATAAAAGACCTAATCTGCATGGCACATTTTCAGATACTATAAATCTACTACTATCTTTGCCAATAATCAGTGAAAACAAAAATCTTGGCATATGGCTGGACTCTGATCTAAGATATACAAAACATGTTAGTCACTTGTGCCAAGTCTCCTATAACGGGTTAAGACAACTTTATCCCAGCAGGAGTATATTATCAAAATTCATGAAGGTCAAACTATGTGAAGCTTTGATTTTGTCTAAACTGGCTTACTGTGACTGCATATATGGACCTGCCCTTTTGCAAACAGATATTCTGCGCATTCAGCGAATTCAAAATTCTTGCATCAGGTTTGCATATGGTATCCGAAAGTATGACCACATCAGTGAGAGCCTTATGGATTCTGGTTGGCCTACCATGATTAACATAAGAAAACTTCATTTTCTCACATCAGTACACAAGATCGTTACTAGTGGAACACCTACTTATCTATACAATAAACTTATCAGACTGCCTGATAATAAAGTAACTCGCAATAAACATCTTTTGGTTATTCCTAAACATTCAACAGCTCTGTTTAAGCGCAGCTTTTCATACAATGCTGCGAAACTGTATAACAGCTTGGCAACAGATCTCAAGAATCTGAGCCTCCGCAATTTTAAAAAAAGATTGAAAGCTGATCTCCTGCACGACCAAGGGCCTAAAGTATAAGCAAACCTAGCTACGTTTTAAAGGATAATGTCCCAGTATGCTTCTTTTTAAGTCGCCTTGTTCCTTTTTGCATGAATTGTGCTCTCATAAAAACTGCATTGGCCATGCTCTCGTATGTTCTGTTTTGTATTGCATATTATCTTTTTTTATATATATATATATTTTTTTTGTATGAGTGTTATTTTTTTGTGGGTTTAGATGAAAAGCAGCTTAGGCTGAACTACGCCTTTCATCATTTTATATTTATTTTTTTTAACCTCAAGTTATTTATAATGATGAATAAAGACCATTGATTATTATTATTATTATTTGGTGTTCATCAGAGACAACATGGCCGCCGGTTGGATTGTTCTGAAATTTTGACCAAATTCTTACCTAACCCTAAAAAACGTTTACAACAAATGGATATAATCAATTCATTGTTATTATGTGTTCTTTTTTCTTACCTTTCACTTAGTATTCTTTACGACTCCCAGCTTATTATATTTTCGATCATGTCATTCACTCTCGATCCGGAAAAGCGCGGCGCAGGCAAACCAAATGGCTGTCAAATGAAGGTCATCCGGATAATGAAGGGATTGGATTTGAATGCTGATTCTATTATACCACTTCTCTCCCAATTTATCTGCCTTCTCCATATAAAGAACAACTTTAGCATGTTTAGAATGCACAATGACACCCCCACGATCGGAATACCAGATACAAGGGTAACATAGTACCAAAGTACTGTTAAAAGGTTCTAGACTAGCAGGGCATAAAAGCTTCTAATCATCGTCTGCCAAAAAACATCAACGACATGTAATATAGAAAGCATTTTGGTCTCCAGTGTTTCATACAGGGTGTAAACGTTATGGAAGTCATTATTGGAATGGGTAACAGGGGGGGTCAAAACAAGTAAAAAAGTTTATATGACCCATGGTCCAAAAGTCAATAGATTTTTGTCTAAATGGCTTTACAGTTTACAGCTTTAAGTGCCTGATATCGACCACAATCACCACAATCTTACTAATTTGTATAATCTAATCTAAAACGTTTTTAAATACACATGACTACAGCACGTCGATCCTTCACCACTCTTATCGAACCGGCAATCGATCGCAAACGGTAACAGTGGTTAGTTATTGTTCGCGTACGTCGTCGTGTTTATTTACAATGTTCTCAAATCATGAGTTCGCCGACATGTTGTTAGTTTACGGCAAAGCTCGTCAGAATTCAAATCTTTCAGCTCAAATTTATCGCGACAGATTTCGCCAGCGGGTACACCCAGACAGAAGGACATTTGTGAAAGTGTACCAAAGACTTCGATATACAGGAAGTGTTCTGCCCACTAATATTCTCACTCGTAAAAGACAGGTTACTGTAGAGTAGGAGGAACACATTTTAAGTATCGTGGAAATCAATGCAGATATCAGCACACGGGAATTAGGCCGCCGCGTAGGAGTATCGCATACCATAGTCCATAGAATCCTACGGGAAACGTTGCTTTATCCCTACCATGTACAACGAATGCAGGCCTTGTTACCAGAAGACTATCCTCGCAGACTAATATTCTGTCAGTGGTTTTTTCACAAAAACATTGAAAATCTGGATTTTTTAAAAACGGGACATTAAATTTCCATAATACTCACACGTGGGCCCAAACAAATCCTCATATCATTCGTGAACGTCGTAATGAAGCTTGTGTGGAAAGTGGAAGACGATTTTGAACACCTTCTTTAAATACAAAAAAGTGCAGTGTAGGTTTTAAAAAGAAAAACAATGTATGTATCAAAATTGTGTTCCCTATTTATAAGTGGATTTTTTAATACGTTCAATAAACTTTCACATACCAGGTGAAGCGCTAAGACAGTTAGTGGTAAGTCCGTTTTTTTTAATTGTTTGCATTTTACGAGTACATTATCAGATAATGAAATAATACCTAAGAGCCAAAAATAACAAACTGCATCTTTATTTACACTGCGTTCCGCCGTAATTTGCGTCTGGCAGTGCGGCGTTGTCAGATTTTATTTTAAACTCTGTATAATACAGAGAATGACGTTCCCAGGATTCTCGTCTGGGGAGGGTAAAGTGATACGTCTATGGTACTCTCGCTAAAATTTAAAAAAAAATCCTGCAGTATGTTATAAAAAATACCTTATATTTGCTCTGAATATGAGATCTAAGGGAAATGTGTATTTTTATAATAACACCTGACTGCTTTAATTTTTTTTGTGTGTGACCAATAAAGCAA